TAACTGCATCTGTTTTTATTATGATCTTTCTCCTTTCTTTGTATAATGCAAGTATAACTGCTTACTGAAAGTATATTTGCTAATCTGAAATCAAATCTTCATAAATTTAAGAAAACTGACGATATGTTTGTAAAACCTTTTACATATCAGTAAAACGATATGTAAAAGGTTTTACAATGTAAAACGATATGTAAAAGGTTTTTATAAAAACTACGCGTGGTTAAAGATTGCCAGAAGACTAAAAAAATCGGCAAAATCGGCAAAAAACAGTCGGCCAAACAGACCGCCAGGTTTTATGTCGTGACACTCAAATATGAAACTTAATTTTTTTTTTTTTTTTAATATTAAGGAATATTTGTTTAAAAATATTGGATTGTAACGTTTTCAAAGGTAAAAATGCGAGGTCCGATGCTCGTTTGACCATTTTAGATATCCATTGCAAAAAATATATAACTGTTTAAGAATATTTGTCTTATAAAAATAGAATATAAAGTTTTTAAAGTTGGAACAAAGTGTTAAGAGAAACAAAGTGGGCAAAAAAATTAAAATTTTCTTTTTTTTTTCCCCTCATTTATTTAGCCGTACAAATATTTACAAGTTCCGTGTATTATAATATATATAAAAATGGCAAAGACGAGAAGAAGACAGGTTCGCCTTATCACCAAGTCCCTTGTTTTTTTAAGATATTTATATAAATACGTTGTAACTAAAATTAAAAAGTAAAAATGAGAGAAAAAAGCAAAATGTTTCAAAGAAGTTTATGCAAAATGCAAAATAGTTTAATAGAGTCTTTCGAAGTTATTTTTAATGTTTAAAAAATTTTTTTAATTATTAAAAAGTTCTCAATAACATGAAGGTTAACTACGGTAATGCAATGCTATTTATATTCAAATTTCAAAGTTATTCATTGAAAGAAAATTTAATAAATCATTCAAGAAAACAAAAATCAATAGCAACAACAACAACAACAACAACAAAAAAGAAAACATGAAAAAATGAAAACATAAAAGTTAATTTACAATCAAAAGATATATATACACATACACATGTATGTATATATGTATACATAAACACACTTGCGCACGCATACATATATACATACACACCATTCGCACATAAATGCTGTAAATCCATAATTACTTTTTCATAATATAATTAACAGTAACGTCCCAGTGGGCACCGGACCAAAAAAAGACGTCTTTTGAACGTTCAATAGACGTCCAAAACGTTCAAAAGACGTCCAAAACGTGTATAAGACGTTTAAAAAACGTCTTATTTACGTCCGTGTCCACTGGGGTATATATAATTAAAGACTTTAGTCCTTTCCAGACTAATAAAGTATGCACTAAAAGATAGTTTTCAAATATAATATTTTTAAAGATAGATTTAAAAATAATTTTCTGTTTGATTGTTATTTAAAAGCAATAGTTTTAGCTTTTATTTAAACTGTTCAAGAGTTGAAAGTGTTTTAATATCATTACTAATTAACTTATTCCATACATTAGGTCCTCTAATAGTTATTGAGAACTTGGTGGACTCAAATAGTTTTGGGTTGAACAAAGTTGATATTTCAATATTTAGTCATGTATTTGTATTGAATTTTATTAAATAATGGTTTGAAGATATTTTTTATCGTATTATTATTAGTTTTATACATAAAAATTAGCAGATGATATATATTTGATTGGTACAAATTTAATATTTCTAGATTGTTAAACAATGGTCTAGAATGTGAGAGGCGGTGTGCATTTGATAATAATCTGATTGCATGTTTTTGTTTCCTAAATAGCTTTTTTGTCTTTGTTTTATTGATGCTGTACCAAGCAATGTTTGCATAACTAAGATAGAAATGAATAAATATGTAATATACGTATTTCAAACATGGTTGATCTAAGTATGGTTTTTCATTATATAGAGTAATCCGATATTTTTAGAAATTTTCTTTCAATCATGTTTATGTGGTCTTTCCAATGTTTTCATCTAGTATTACACCTAGAAATTTCATTGAACATTCTCTTTTTACGTTGTATTCTCCAATAATAAGTTTTGAAAGTGCAATAGATATTTTATCTTTTTTATGTAGGCGATGAAAGATAGTATATTTGGTTTTAGTTAAATTAATTTAAAGTTTTTTCATATTTAACTATTCAGTTAGTTTTAGAAGTTCAATGTTGATTGTTTTAAATAATGTTGTTATATCACTATGAAATAAAAATAAATTTGTGTCATCAGCAAATAATATAGAATCTATAATATTAGAAGCTTTGCTTAAATCATTAATATAGATTAAAAATAAAAGTGGTCCTAATATATATCCTTGAGGAACGCCGCAAGTAATTGTCATATTGTTAGTTTTTTCATTGCCAAATGAAATATATTGTTTTCTTTTAGATAAGTAGCTTTTGAACCAAGCTATGTTTATACTTTTGATTCCATAGTTTTCTAATTTTTTAATTAAAATACTATGATCAATAGTGTCGAATGCCTTACTAAGATCTATGAAAACACCTAAAGTGAACTTGTTTTTGTCAAAACCTTGAAAAATAATCTGAATGAGATGAAGAATGGCATGATCAGTAGAGTGCCCTGTTTTGAAGCCAAGTTGTTTGTTGTAAAAAATATTTTATTTATTCTAAAAATTAGTATAATTTGTTATACATAATGCGTTCTAGTATTTTTGAGAAGCAAGGAAGTATGGATCTATAGTTCGAGATATTAGTATCATCTCCAGATTTAAAAGCTGGTATTACCCTTGCAATAAAGTATTTTTGGAAAGATTCCTTGTTTAAACGAAAGATTAAATATACGCAAAAGAACTTTTTTAATATAGAAAATACATTTAGTTACAACATTACTCCTAACATTATCAATTCCTAGTGCTTTGCTTAATTTTAATGAATGTACAGCATCTAATAATTCTTTTTCTGTTAACTTAGCATTTTTCTAAGAGTCAAGTATTTCTCCTCGTTAAACTCACTGTGTTTTAATTTTGATGCTAAATTTAAACCTGCATTGACAAATACCTCATTAAATGTTTTAGAAATTATAGATTCATTTGTAATATCTTGATGATGATAATTTAGTTTTTTTGGAAGACCATTTAGCATAAGTGTTTTTTTTCCAATTATTTTTTTAATGACTTGCCACGTTTTTTGAGTATCGCCTTTAAATTTATTATTTTATTTGAATAGTATAACTTCTTTGAAAGTTTTAAATTGAGGGGCCCTACGCCTATTTGAGAAATTTAGACGCCCGTTATAAAAATAAGTTACTATTTTATGGTAGTTGCCTTATAAAAATGCTTCGAGAATAATACATCATAAAAACAAACTAACCTTTTCTAAACCTCTATTAAAAGAAATAAAAGCGCTAAACATTTACTAAATTAATATCTATGCTAATATACTATTTATGCTAAAATACAAAATAGGATTAGTTCCTTCACAATTGACAGAAAACTTTTTTCATTCAATTACCAATAAGTTTAACCTAGTAACTTTGTCGTAAGTAAGTTTAACCTAGTCGTAAGTATATTTAACCTAGTTCAGTTTAACTTACTTACTGTCGTAAGTAAGTTTAACCTAGTAACTTTGCCGAAAAAAAATCTCTCAATTTTCTATCTTTTATCGCAGCCCGTGTTTATATAACAGATTAATTCCAAAATGTACCTCTATTACTCTACCTGACAATATATTTTCTTTAAAATCAAAACTTAAAAATCTTGTTCCTAATATAAATAATTACATAGAACTGTTCTAGTTAACATGATAAATCAAAATGTGAAGTAAAACAATGTACTATGTGAAAAAATTATTCATATTGTATTATTCAAACTTACATCGTGATTTTTGCACTCATGTCGTTTTCGGATTGGTAAACAATCAGAGCCTTTTAGAGGACCTATTATTTAGAAACTTTTTTTTTCGATATGTAATTCATTTTTTTACAAAAATGTAAGTATACACTAAAAAAAGTAGATATAAGTATTTTAGATAGAATTTCTGAAAAAATATTATTCTTAGGATGGGGAGGGAAGTAAACGCCTTTTTTTTGAGAAAGAGGGCCGTGCCCTAACACTTCTTCTCCTCAATGGCGCATCTGCGATTAATTTAAACTTGCTATGTTCTACCTTACCTAAGATTTTGGTAAAGATTAGTTAAATGGTTTAAAACTTAATAATGTTTTTATAAATCCAAAATGGCGGTAACTGCCATCTTGGATTCAAGCCAGTTCAGGTCATGCTACACTTTGCTACCATATCTTAAAATGATAAGCATAATTTCCTGAGTTATTGGTGAAAATTTCATGATTTTATCCACTTGAGCATAATCCAGTCATTTTTAATGCTAAACTGCTGCACTATGATGCAAGTTCCAAAAATAAAAAAAATAAAAATAAAAACAATTAAACCAGTCTCTACAATAAATATGCACACATATGAAGTTGTGGGAAAGAAAAGTCAAATTCGAAATGATATTAGTTTTTACATAAAAAACTGTTCGTTTAAATTAAACTGCTAACCCTTTCATGTTGTGGAACACAAAACATTATCTAAAGAGCCACTCTAAGAAAAAATCCGTTATATACAACGAATTGAATCTGTCGCTATTACACTAACGGGAAATCCGTTAAGTTAACAAATTAAAATTTTAACGAATTGAAGTCCGTTAGAAATAGTCCGTTGAATTAACAAATTTATTTCGTTAGTGCAACGAATAATCCGTTAAAATTAAGGAGTTATTACACTAGGCAGCAAATTTTCCGCGGTTGTTATTCCTATGAAATAATTGTGTTAATAAGTTATTTTAGTGATTATTTCGTTAAAATCACTAATATCTAAAATTAGAGAGGCCAGAATTGTGACTTCATAACCAAATAATCCTTATATTTGTTAATGTTTGCATTTTTATTTAATTGCATTATTTTATTTCGATATTCTACATTAAAACGTTTTAACCAAAAATTGAAAACTAATCAAATATTTATAATGTTTAATCCAATATACTTTAAATTACAATAAAAATACATGAAAAAATTTTTTAATACACTATACTCAAGCAAGTACATTTATATAAAAAACACACATATATATAATAGACGTTTAAAATAAACCAATGCCAAGATAGTTTTTTGTCGCTAGTTTTGGTTTGGTTGGTTTAAATAGGTTTTGGTTTTGAATACTGTTGTTACTCGTACACAGGTTCGCACTTTGAATCAGACACCATGCTGTCAACTCCTTAAAGATTAATATAAAATAAAATAAGGAAAATAAAGAAACTTAATAACATACCTAGTATAGAACCAAAATAAAATGTTACTGATAGCACTATAGAAAATGTTTTTGGTAATTCATTATATATAAATTTCTATTCTAAATATTGTTATTTTAATTATCTTTGATATCGTTTTTTTTAAAGATAAAGTTAAATGGAACAAGTAAATTATATCTTTATTAAAATGTAAATTTAAAAAAAGTATAAGATTACCTTGACATTATCTGATAACTGAAAGACTCTATACATTTTACATACATCAATACCTATCAGGAGCAAAAAATAAAGTCTCTAACCTTTTAAAAACTATGATAAATCAAAACAAGATTAAATATGCAGACCAAAAAAAACGCAAGTAACTATATAAAAAAATTAATTTTACAACTTATTTAAACTTACAGTGTCGTACCACTTGCCACATGTTTAAAATAGCTAATTCTAAAATAATAGAGAATATAGAATATAGTAGAATAATAGTTAAAAAAGTATGATATAAACTTAGTCTTAACTATACTAAAAAAATATGCATGCCAAAAGAAATGCAAGTTAAAATACAGTTTTTTTAAATTTACTAATTCAAACTTACAGTGGGATACCACATGCCACGTGTCTAAAACAGTAAATTTTAAAATAATATAAACACGCCAGATATAAACTTATTATTATTATTATTATTATTATTATTAATAGTTGAAACTCAACTAAATAAATATGCACGCCAATAGAAATGCAAGTTATAATATAAATTTTACAACCAATTTAAACTTACAGTATGACAGCTTATACCAAGTGTCTAAAATAGCACATTCTGAAATAATATAAACAAGCCATACACAAACTCAGTTGTAATCTAATTATATAAAAATAAACGTCAAAAGAAATGCAAGTTAAAATATAATTTTTTTTTTAAGTATACTAATTCAAACTTACAGTGGGATACCACATGCCACGTGTCTAAAACAGTAAATTCTAAAATAATACAAACACATCAGATATAAACTTAGATTAAACTCAACTAAATAAATATGCAAGTTACAATATAAATTCTACAACCAATTTAAACCTACAATGTGACACTAAATGCCATGCCTCTAAAGCAGCAAATTCTAAGATAGTATAAATAAATAAACATGAATGTTAAAAGAAATAGAAGTTCCAATATAATTTTTTTAATTTCACAACTAGTTTTAACTTACAGTGGGATAACAAATGCCATGTGTCTAAAACAAAAAATTCTAAAATAATATAAACACACCAGTATAATCTTAGTTTTCTTAGATATTGGACGCCACATGTTTAATTTGGAAATTAATAAAAATTGCAATTTATAAAAGCATATTAACTAGCCATGTAAACTTAGTTGTAACTAACCTAAATAAATATACCTATCAAAGATGTTAACATTTTTAATTTTACAACTGATTTAAACTAATATGGTATGTTACTACATGTCATATGTCTAAAATATAAAGTTAAACAAGACTATAAATAATCCATTTAGTCTATATTATAGAAATAATTGTTCAACTAACCCTTTACTACTAGTAAAGGATTAGTTGAACTTTTGTTTCTATAATATAGACTATATGGATTGCATATATTCTTGCATAATTTTCTAGATTTAGACATGTAGTAACTTACCTTATATTATATGTATTAACTTACCATATATGTTATTATATATTATTTAGTAATACTAATGGCTTTTAATTTAAAATAAAATAAACCTTATTGTTAAATTTTCTGTATAAAGCTTTATATAGAAAATTTAAAATAAGTTAAATAACCTTCGAAATAACATAGCGTAATTTAAATTATATTTATCCATTTGCTTTGTCTACTAAATGTAAAGCTTTTTAAAAAATGGCATATTACACTTACTGCAACCAAGTTTTATCTACGATGTAAATGTAAATGTGAGAAAAACGCATTCAAAACTTTATCATTTTCAAAATAAAAAGATATAATATACTGAAAATTTTTTTTTGACCGATTAGAATATTTAATCCGTTGAATTAACGAAATTTCAAAGAATCCGTAAATAGTTAATTTTACTCCGTTAATTTTCTGGTTTTTGGTAACAAATTAATCCGTTAATTTGACAAAAAAGCGCAATCCGTTACTTTTTTTAACGGGCTGTTTTTAGAGTGAGGAGTTGCTGAAATTTTCTAATTTCAGCAAGTTTTTTCAATTGACATCTCTAATATATAAATCTATGACTTGTGGTAGGTTGAGCAATTTACTAACTTTTTGGCAACATTTTTTTCACACAAATCCCCAAAATGTGGTTCAAAATGTGTACAGGTAACCCTTTTTTATAAAGTGAACTTACCATTTTAAAAGTGAAAAAGTTATATTAATCCAACGCAACGCTTAACAGATTTGTTAAAAATAGTACATTCGAAAAAAAGTTCTGCCATTGCCTAAATTTATCTAAAAATTACTAAAGTTTGTAAAGATCATAAGATTTTATGTTGTTGATATTTAAGTTATTTTAGTTAAAATGGTTTCAGAACTGGAGGTTCATTGTTCGAAGCCGGATATATATATATATATATATATATATATATATATATATATATATATATATATATATATATATATATATATATATATATATATATATATATATATATATATATATATATACACATATATATATATTTAGTATTGTTAAATATATATATATATATATATATATATATATATATATATATATATATATATATATATATATATATATATATATATATATATATATATATATATATATATATATATATATATATTTAGTATTGTTTAGTTTATATTTAGTATTGTTAAAATACTAAACTTTTTTACTGTGTTTTGTTATTATTCAAAAGCAATTAAAACCACTGTTATATATGACTTTAAACTAGGTAATTTCAAAGAAAAACTTTTGGCAATTTGAGCTCATATTATACAAAAATGACATTTTTAAGTAAAGTCAAAACTAAATGTTTCTATGCATTGCTTTTCAAACAAAATTGGAACGGATTTTTATCAAACATATTTTTTTTTATGAAAAAATAAGTTTCATTATTTTAGCACCAAAATTTCGCGCCACAGATTTATTCATTCGTAATGATATTATTTTAACAACGCAAAAAATTTAATAGCGCCTTAATTAGATGATAGCCGCTAATAACTGCATATAAATTTACGCTAATTCTACTGATTCCTATTATCACTACATAAAGTCGATCCAAAAAATACAAAGCAACTTTAAATTCACTGTTTACATCTAAGAAATCTTTAACTATGCTCATATTACCAAAGTGCTCATATTACCATAATCTATCCTACATTTTGAAATACAAGAGGTGACGTAAAGTTTAACGCCAAAGTTAATCTTGATCTACACCACTCAATGATAGATCTAGGATATTTTGGTGCTTGAGATAGCTAACTTCCAGACATATGTTTATACTTATGTCAAATAATGAGCCTCAGCAAAAAATTGCAATTATTGGAGGCTGGGAACGAAAAAGCCCTTTAACTTCATCCATCCAACACCCCTCCCGTCACCAACCCCAAACGTAAAAGCAATATGTTGATAAAATATTTTTTTTACCATTCTCAACTAGACTAGAATTCATCGATAAATTTGAAGTTTCATAATGTTATCTCTCAGCGTTCAAAAGTTATGGTCAAATAAAATTTGAAATCCTCTCAATTTGAGTGGGGTTTAAGATTAATATTGAGAGGTAATAATATGAAACTTATAATCAATTAATAAATAAAATTTTAGTGAAGAAAGTACAAAACAAATTTTAGCAACATGTTGCTTCTTACGTTTAGTGTATTTTACTTTTTTTTATAGTTTATATTTATGACTATTTATTATCAATTTTTTTTTTTTAATTGTCTTTTATTTTTAATTGTCTTTTATTTTAACAGTAAATGATTTTATTTACTTTAAGTTGTTTCCATATTTTAGTCAATAGTTTTCATATTTCCTACGATTACAGAAAATGGAGAGCGAACTTCCAACTACAGACGATAGCTTTGATTTAATTGGTAATTTATATAAAAAACTCACTGTGTCTGGATTAAAAAGTTCGTTTCATGGGGATATTTTTCAGTTAGGTCTTTTAACTCTTTCTGCAATAAGGGCAAAAAATTCAGCAAAACGATTTTACTTAATAGCAGAAGCGAAAGAGTTCGAAAAGTTTGATGATCTGGTTATTGACTTTGTGGATCACATTACTCTATTGCAAGCAAAACATTCGGAAAAAACAGACTATTTTGTTAAAAATGATTTTTTAAGTGAAAAAGGTGATGCTAGTTTAGCTAAATACTATGATTCATGGTCAGCTATACGTCAGCTTCCATTTTTAAAGCTTCCAGATGGAAAACGTAAGGATACTAAGTTTATATTCTTTTCAAATAAAAAGCTCAAAAAAATGGATAAGTATATTGAAGAAAAACAAATTGAGAATGACGAGTTTGCATTTTCCTCTGCGTTTGCTACTCCCAGTTATAGAATTATAAAGGGGAAAAAAAGAAGTGAATTTATAGAGGCAATAAAAAAACATTCAAAAATTACAAATAAAGAAAACCCTAAAGAAAAAATTACAAACTATTTTATTGGTACTAAAAAAAGCGCGGCTGTAAATAACAATACAGACATAGAAGAATTTTTAGATCAATTTATTATTAAAACTAATCAGCCAAATGTTGATCAGTTGTTTGAAATTGTCAAGCATGAAATAGGTAGTCAGGTTAACATTGGTGTTCAAGAAACTTATACTAGAGTCATACAGTTTATGCTTGAATGGTTTAAAGATATGAAGACATGTGTCTTAACCAGCAAAAACTTTGAAGATTTAAATATTCTACAAAATGCAGACATGAGTCGCTTCTTCTTTTATCATCTCACCAAAAAATTTGAAGAAGAATTTAATGATCATTTGTTAGATTTTCAAGGATTTACAAATGAAAAGTTACTAGATTTTTTAACAGCTCAAAATCCACCTGAACAAAATGTTCAGATAATTATAGGCAGCAATCTAAGACCAATAGTTTACATAACAATTAAAGAACTAAAAAATTTAAAGCAGGATGAATGGATTTATATTGACTACAATGATAAGATACGTGATATTGAAGTAATATTTCAAAGTAGTGTAGTAAAGTTTGTAGTAATAAACACTCAAAATATTGATGTATTTACTCAACAACAAATTCAAAATATTGGTAATATTTTAAAAAACATTGGATCTATGAAAGTCATTATCCTAACAAAAACAAAACTTGATATTTCTGAATATTTATCAAAAACGTTTCAAGAAAATTTACTTGAACCACCGTCAGATGAACAAATTCAAATCTTATATAACAAATATGAAAATAAATATATAACACTAGCAGGAAAAGAATATAAAATAAAAGATATTATTAATCAAAGGCTAGGTAGTATTTACGAAATAATGAAGAACATTCAATACTTTCCACAAATAACTGAACATGCGCATGATTACCAAGTTCCTGTTGAATCAGGAATGCCGTATGGTATTTATATAGAAAACGAAATGAGTTACGGGAAAGGATATTACGATTTGTCTATTATTATGAGAAAAAAAGTTTCCTATTATATTATATCAGGTGTGAACTATAACAATCTTTTTAAAAGAATTAAAAATTTATTTCAAGAAAATCCGGAAAAATTTGCTGAAATTGAAAATGTAGAAACTGATTTTGAAAAGTGGGAAATATCAGATTTTTTTTTATTAAAAGATCCAAACCTGGTTTTCTATCTTGAATCTTTTGATCTTAATTCAGACAATAATAATTGTAGTAAAGTTTATATTTTAACAGCCAAACCTGCAAATTTTAATAAAACAAATTATCTTTTATTAAAGCCTGTTAAATCTTCTTCAACAAAAAAATTTGAAGTAGCTGAAAATCCAAGCAACGTTTATCTACCTTTTGCACAAGGTGTAGATTATTCAAGTCGTGAATCGCAAGAGAAGTTTATTAAAGATATAAGTACTGGTGGTCAATTGTCAATATTGTTAGCACCTGCAGGTTACGGAAAAACGTCTTTCTGTAAAAACATAATAAATAATCATAAAAAATATGAAGATGCATCCAACCCAGTTTGGGTTGTATATATACCATTACCTCTTTTACAATTTGATAACCAGTGTCAGCCTAATTTTGAACCTTTTTTAAATATACATTATAACTGGGAAAACGAGGCATTTCAAGCAGATAAGCATATAAAAGGAATGGTTTTACTTATTTTGGACAGTTTTGATGAAGTAAAAGATGTTAGAATAATTGATAAGATAAATGAATTTATTCAAAAAAAACTTAATGAGTTCCAAACTTCGTGTTTAATTACTACAAGACCATATGCAACAAATAAACTTTTGCTACCATCCGAAAGATTGGCAATCTATAAATTAACAAAGTATACTGAGAAACAACAGAAAGAGTATATTAAAAAATATGTTACAGCTATTTTAAAAAATTTTAAACCATCAGAAAATGTTCTAAACGCTTTTGTTAAAGAAGTTGAATGTTTTTTAACAACTGGACTTAATAAAAATTCTTCTAAAATTCTCGGTATTCCATTAGAAAGTTTCCTTACTTGTGAATTATTGCAACCACATATTTTGAACTATATTGTCAAAAATGATAACCAAGTACCAGAGAAGTGTCAAATTAACTTTAAATATCTAGATATAAGCAATACTGCTACTCTCTATCAGGAATTTATAAGATCTAAATCAATCTTGTTTTTAGAAAAACACATAGGTGTAAATTCTGAGAAAGTTTACGATAAAAGCATGACATTCAATTTAATGGGAGCCTATAATCAAATTATGGAGTTGTATGCACTTAAGCAATCATTTAGTATTAAGAATATTACCAAATATACAAAAACAATTAATTTTGAAATACGGACCTTTAAGACGCTCGAAGATACAGGTTTATTAAAAGTTGCTAAAGATAAAGATGGTAGAAAGCTATATTTTAATCACGAAACTTATCAGGAATTTTATTCTGCACTTGCAATAATAAGAGGGCTTTTAAGCGGAAAAGGTCATTTATTCAAACTAGTTAAAAAGATAGTTGTTAAAAACTGCTATAACCCGAAATTTCAATTTATTTTTACAATAATTGCTCAGTTTAGTTTTGTAGGTGGTCCAATGATTCCAGGATATGAAAAAAAAAATAATTTGTTTTCATATTGGGATGTGTTCGGAAAAAACTTTGATGTACTTGGTGCAGGCGCTGTAAGAGTATTTAGTTGTTTTTTTGAAGAGTTTATAGAAGAAAAAATTGAACAAAACGAAATTAAAAAACAACTTCAAAAACAGTTTAAATATTTTCAAAATAACACAAAAGAAAGTAAATGGGCAAAGTATATTAAGTATGCACTCAGCGTAAGTCAACCTAAAAATTATTTAAAAGTTAATAAAGACGATGACGATGGAAATGAGTTGCCTATTGTAAACTACATAAATGATGATTCCGTTGACAAAAAAAATCTCAATCAAATATTTAACTCAATTTCTCAAGAGTTTAGATATAAAAAAAAAAACAATTTATTAGTTAAAAAAGACATATATTTGTTGGAAAAAGAAACTAAAATGCATTCTGGCAAATATGATTATTGGGCACTTGATGAAGGAATTGAAGCAATAGGTTATACCGGGAAGCTGTTTAGCAAACCATTAGCAGATTTTTTAATAGAAAGATCAAAATTTTGGAATAATAATAGAAAAGCTGCAGTGTTGGCATTAAGAGAAATATATAAAAGTTTAACGGATAAAGATGATATTGCCAAAAAAAACTGTTTTTATGTTTTGCAAACAATAAATTTATCTGCTGAATACAATAATGCGATGCAAAGTTTGTTGCAACAGGTTAACCAAGAGTTCATTCGTTATCTAATAATGGGTTTGAGCTCAGAATGGCAAGTTTTAATCAACGATAATTTTATGAAAGAAAATCCTTTGATAAAATACAATAAGCTTCAAACAATAAAAAATATACTATTTGTTGCTGAAAAACTTCTGTATGCGGTAATTGTTAGAGACAACCATTTGTTCCTTGTTAAGGAAAAAGAAATCGAAATTAAATTTGGAAAAGGATATCTAAACAAATGTTTTGCTAACGAAGTATTTGAGTTTATTAAAAAAATAAACTCATTTGAAGAATATTCGCCGGGTTGTTGGATTGACTCTTTTGTGTTAAAAAAGTTTGATGAAAGTTTAGTGAGCTTCAAACAAAAAATTGAAAACTTAAACTTAAAAAATGATGATGAGTTTATCAATTTACTTAACAAACAAGGTCATTACAAATCGTATACATGCACGTTATACGCGCACCTTTTTGTCAATAAATTGTTAAACAAACACCATGTAGAAGGTCTTGTTAGACTTTGGGAAAATTCTGACAGTTCACATTCATCAAATTGGGTAGAAAGTGCGGGAATTATATCTATTGGCTATACAGGGCAATATTTTAATATGCAGTTAGCAACTTACTTATGTGAAGTCGAAGATTCGTATAAAAATATTAATCAGGCACGAGCAGCACTAAAACAAATTTTTTTAACTCTTACTTCTGATGATATAGATCACAATAAGGCGTACCACGAAGCAGTTAAGGCTTTTAACTACTGCGCCAAAAAGTTTTGTTTTAAAGAAATACAACTAATACAACAATCTTTTGGCAAAAGAAAGTTAACGGACATTTAAAAAAAAATTTAATTTAATGCTAAAACCACACTAGATAATTGTATGATATTTTCATGTAAACTTTAAAACTTAAGTTTGACATAAATACTCGTTATATAAAAAACGTGACAATTACTTATTACGCCATTAAGACTATAAATAATAAAATGCATGCTGATTTTCATTAAACTTTGGATGGTTTCTATTATTTATCTGTTTAAATTGAAAAATAAACATATATTTAGCTTTATGTACTGTTTTTGTTTCTTTTTACTATATTTTTTCAAAAAAGAGATGACTTGGACTGACACACTTTTTGCCATTAATCATTTAATAAGTATTTGTATAAAGGTATGCAACTCAGCGTGGGAACATACCTGAGGTACTGTAAGGGTTTTTTGGGAGTTGTGAAGGAGAAAAGGCAATTTGTTTGTGCGAGTTTTAATTCTATTTTAGATACCTTTTAAGGACTTCAGGTACATAGGCAACAAACTAATTTGTTTCTTATTCGTTCCATTCTGCGAAGTGCTTTAAAGCACTTAGTGGAATGGAACCGCTGAAGGAGAAAACGGTGTTTGCTTTGACAGACAGGAAACGGAATCTGCCTGTTAAGGAAGTTACAATTCCTTTTTCAGTGGTGAATACAAAAAATCTTTGCTCTATTAAGTATTACGACTCAGACTAAGGAGACTGAAAGGAAAATTCGCTACTTGATAGATACAAATCTATCCTGGCTGAAGTACGTGCACAAGGTAACAAAGTGGCGGAGGAAGCGCCGCAAGCTGATGATGAGGGTCAAATAACTCTCTTAATTAAGACAGGCAGAGGAGCTGATTTAATTGAATTAGTAGCAGATATTGATGAGGTTTAAATTGTAACATCGAAATCAACCAATCAAGAACAGCTTATATATGTATAAATATATATATATATATATACATATATATATATATATATATATATATATATATATATATATATATATATATATATATATATATATATATATATATATATATATATATATATACATACATACATACATACATTTATATATATATATATATATATATATATATATATATATATATATATATATATATATATATATATATATATATATATATATATATTTATCTACTGGTAGGACTTCCAGAAGATCGCACAATCTTATCATAAAGCCCTTTACAATCTATATCACGAGTTTAAATAAATAAGTTTAGCAAGCTGATGATGAGGGTCAAATAACTCTCTTAATTAAGACAGGCAGAGGAGCTGATTTAATTGAATTAGTAGCAGATATTGATGAGGTTTAAATTGTAACATCGAAATCAACCAATCAAGAACAGCTTATATATGTATAAATATATATATATATATATACATATATATATATATATATATATATATATATATATATATATATATATATATATATATATATATATATATATATATATATATATATATATATATATACATACATACATACATACATTTATATATATATATATATATATATATATATATATATATATATATATATATATATATATATATATATATATATATATATATATTTATCTACTGGTAGGACTTCCAGAAGATCGCACAATCTTATCATAAAGCCCTTTACAATCTATATCACGAGTTTAAATAAATAAGTTTACCTATATTTAAAACAATTTTTAAATGCGTTTATATATTATAATACTCTTTTAATGTTAGGCAAGTTTTAACAATATTTTATAATATATGTGAACATATATATAATATTTCTCAATATTTAATATTATGCCAAAACAAACAAACGAAAAAAGGAAACAAAAGCTTGAAAAATTGCAATTTTCATCAGTATATATGTACTGGTAATATATAATATGTAATCTAAAAAATATTGTCGTTCAGATTACAATTTCTTAATTATTTTGTGGAAAAGGTAATAATTTAAAAATATAAAATATGTTATCAATTGAAAAAATTACCTTTTTTAGTTTTCTTTTAAAAGAAAATTAAATCTAATTATGCGAAAAATCAAAATGTTTTAAAACTATTTTGTTACATAAAAAGGCCCCACGGCCGTGGGGCCTTTTTACCGTGCACGGTACTGAATGCAAGATTTGCCTATATTTGATTGAAAAGTTGGTTGTTGGATATGTTTATTATTTCTTAATATATATTGATTTTTTGCTTTTATTGAATATAAAGTATGAAAAGAAACTGGACATGCATTAATTTTACAATATAAACATAAAACAAAGAACGTTAAATATGTTTGCTTCGCAAATATTAAGAATATTCATGTTAAATAATAAAGGCCTGGTATAAGTAAACGATCTTTTAAATTAATAATATGCTTCTGTTGACAAAGCAAAGGGTTTAACTTAATTTTGTTGGTACTACCCCAGGCAATATTAGCATAGGTAATATGGCAGTCAATTAATGAGTAATATAGTTGAATTAAAGTATGTTTATTTAAAATGCTTTTTGTTTTATATAGAATCCCAATACTTTTTGCAATTTTATTAATTAGGTTTCCAATATGGTTTTCCCATGAAAGAACAAATTTTAGTATAAGTTACACTTTTTATATTAATTTTATCATTGAAAAGCGGCGGCATTTCACTTTTTAAAAGCTGAATGAAAAAAACTCCACTCGGTTCAGTGGATTTTTTTTCATTCAGCATATTTGATTTAAACCAGTCAGATATTTTTTTTAGCTCTACATTCATGTCATTAAATAAGTTATTGATGTTATTTCGAGATAAAAAAAGATTAATATCGTCAGTATATATTATTGTCATTAAATTAGAAGTTTTATAGAGGTCATTAATATAAATAAGAAATAGGTGTGGTCCAATTATGGAACCTTGGGGGACTCCACAGGATATATCTAAAGCAGTAGTTGTTGAGTGTGTATCAGTATGCATGAATTGTTTACAATTATTTGAGTAACTTTTTAATAACATTAAGACTTTACCACTGATACAGTAATGTTCTAATTTATTTATGAGAATGTCGAGATTAATAGTATCAAGGGCTTTAGATAAGTCTATAAAAATACCTAAAGTAAATTGTGATTTTTCGAAGGAGTCAGTAACAATTCTTATGAGTTAAAGTACTGCGTGTTCTGTAGAGATATTTTTTTTTTGAAAATGTATTAATTGTTTTAAAGTATATTATTTTCAGAGAGTTGATTAAAAATTCGATCAAATAAAAATCTTTTAAGAATTTTGGAAAAACTGACAAAACTGAAGTTGGACAATAATTCCCAACATTTGTAAGTTCACCACCTTTATATATAGGGGTCACTTTTGCAACCTTTATTTGGGCCGGACTTATTGAACAATTAAGAACTTTAAATAGAGTATTCTTTATACTATCGTTGGACTTAACAATGTTTCTATTTAAATCATCTGGGCTAATTGCTTTATTTGGCTTAAGCTACTTAAAAGCATTTTCAAATTCTGAAAATAATAGTTCAAAGGCACTTAGACCAGAGATTAGAGAAAATTCATAATTATTGATTGGATTTATCATATTTGAAATATTTTTTGGTAGATTAGGTCCAACAGAAACAAAGAGTTTATTTAGTTCATTTGCTATTTCATTAGGATCATCTATAACTTTAATTAATTTTGTTAGCTTTAGGTAAAAAATACGATTTTAAGCTTTGTTTGCCCGTGATTTCACTTATAATTTGCTCTAGTCTTAAAGTTTCTCTAGCAAATTAAAATAGTTTTTTTTTTTTTTTGATTTTTTTAATTTTTTTCAGATTGTTTAGTATAATTTTTGTATATTGTTTTTGTTATACATATATATATATATAATATATATATATATATATATATATATATATATATATATATATATATATATATATATATATATATATATATATATATATATATATATATATATATATATATACATATATATATGTGTATATATATATATATATATATATATATATATATACATATATATATGTATATATATATATATATATATATATATATATATATATATATATATATATATATATATATATATATATATATATATATATATATACATATATATATATCTACTATACTATGCGCAATTGCTCACTTTTTTTGCTAGTCTAAATTAAGTGAGCGTTTTGAGAAAACGATGAGGAAAACGAAGAATAATGAATGAAAAGGTTGTATGTATATATATATATATATATATATATATATATATATATATATATATATATATAATATATATATATATATATATATATATATATATATATATATATATATATATATATATATATATATATATATATATATATATATAATATATATATATATATATATATATATATATATATATATATATATATATATATATATAGTCAGCATCATAAAAAAGAAATGTGATAAGAAGATTTCAAGAAAAATATGTTAATCTAAATCAAATATCGTGGCATCAGAATTACTTTGTTCTATTTCGAAATTTTCAAAAAATATAGTTACTAAGTTATTTCCGATTAATGTTTTTCTGCTATACTGAAACTTATGTTATAAGTAAAGAGGTTGCAGAAAAAATAAGAGTTATTAAAACAATTTTATATGCCGCCTCCTAAAGTTTTTAGTTTTTAAATCATTTTATCTCAAAATTCAAATATGTCTAAATTGTTTTTACAATATCTTCAGCAAAGTTGTGTAAACATGGACATTTTGCTGTACAGTAAGAAAATGCTAAAACTCGTTAAAGTGTTGCATAAAAACTAAACAAGTAAGATAAACAACACAAAGACTATTGCCACAAAACCTTAGAGTGTTATATTGTTGTAATTTTTATCGTCCAAAATATTAACAAATTTTTTTAAATCACCTTTGACGTCCTTACAACTTATCTTGCTTGCAGTCAAAAGATTTTTAAACTGCAATACAATCATTTTTAAATAAATTAAAACTTTCAGACTTTAATGCTGAATTACATAAACAAAAAAAAAGAATTAAAAGCTACTAAAATAAAACTTAAATTTGATTTTTTACTCTGGTGAAGTATATATATTTTTTAATATGAGCGGTGTCTCACTTGTATTCTTTTATCTTTTATTTTAAGTTCTTCTATTCTTTCATCATCATTGTTAGAGTACTCAGTATTATATCATTAATCGTAGAGCTTTCGCTCAAAAAATTATATTTATTT